GCTTGATGTAGGTATCGAGATTGAAATGAACCTTGTAAAGGCACCGGATACTGGAATTGTATGGTTTAATAGTTCACTCTGACTGCTAGTGGTGGTTTCAGCTGCTGCAGAAGGTATTCGTAGCCTAATCTAGAAGTACGTGGGATATAAAAAGATTAGGGGTGTATGTACTACACCTTCTCTAGAGCAACCCAGTAGTATAAGAACTCTACTGGGTTATCTATAGAATTAGAGCACAAGTAGTATAGCAGATGTCGATTTGGATAGTCTTCAATAAGAAGCAGCACGAGGTTATGTGCTAGCATGATTGAGGTGGATGGTACAGGATGGGAACATCAGAGAGTTTAAATGAGTAATTCAAATAATAGTGGGTTACAGATATAGCATCTAGTGTAGACCCTAGTAATAGGTAACTACTTAATTAGGCACTCAAAAGGCGCAGATATGGCTAGAACGTATTCTCATTAACCAATAGTATACTATCTAAAAATATCTAATAAAAAATCCACCTTCACGCGATATTGCAAAGGTTAAAAAAAAAAAAAAAATTTAAAAAAAAAATAATGTTAAAAAATAAAATTTGTATAAAACAAAAGTAACAAATATAAAACTATTTAGTTTATTCTAAATGCAGAAATATTATCTTAAAAAAATAATCAATACAAGATTACTAAACCCTGTTACAAACACAAGCTATAAACTATAAATATAAATTTATAGAAAACAATATTTAGAATGTTAACCAAAATTTATACGAAAAAAAAGATAAAACGAACTAAAAAAATGAACTTAAAATAACTATAAACTTAGAATCTATCTGTTTTTCAAATCTTATTTATTTTTATATAACGAACTGATCTTACTTTGATTTTTTATGATTACAAAACTATAAATATTCTACTTTCTGTATATCTAATTATTAACTATGAACAAATGCTATAAAGATCATAAAAGGCTAATAAATTTAACTAAAAAGTATAATTATAAGCTAATAAAATTTTAATAGAATGATCTAGAATCAATTTCTATTTTTGGTAATATGTTTAACTATATTCAAGATACATAATTTACATATTCATATTCTATATATATCTATATATTTTTGTAATAGATAAAAAAAATAAACAATATAACTGATTTGATAAGTAAACAATATATTAATCTTTTGAAAGAAGTAAACAGGAACCCGAAGAACTTTGTATAATATCAGCTAAATAGGCATATAAAATAGATCAAAAATTAAAAATTTACTATATAAAAATACAATGTTTGATGAATTTCTACACAAAATTTTTTTTTAGTAATATATAAGTTATATCGGAGTTCTTCAGAGCCTAAATAAACTAAATTATCTACTTTTTTACCAATTTTTCTTGAAAAAAAAAGTGAAGAGTCAACAAAAATATAAAAAATATATGAGGTTCTTTTATAAGTTTTACAGTTATATAAACAATTATTTAAGCTTCAACTATTTCAATAAGAGTCTTTTGACTACTATTTATTTCTAGAATAATTCTTTTGATTTGAATATCAAATAACTTAAAAAGTCTATAGATAAAGCAGAAAAAAACTTGATTCAAGAAAAACTATTCAAGTTATATCTATTTCTTAATATATTATATCTCTTAAACTTTATTGACAACAATCTACACAAAAGTAAGATCAATTTTTAGAATATTCTTTTGGTTTGAATGCCAAATAATTTAAAGCGTCTATAAATAACAGAAAAGGTTTAATTTTAAGAAAAACTATCTAAAATATATCTGTTTCTTGAAGTTTCACATCTTTAAATTTTATTAACAACTATTTATTCTAAGGTAGAACTGAGAAGTATCCATCTTAAAAGTTTCTATATTATTTTTTTGTAATTCAGTTTTTTGTGATTATTAACTAGAAGATCATCAGAAAGAGTTGTTTTTTGTTTTCTAAATATCACTACAAATAAAATTTAGTTATAATTTTTTAAAATTATATATTTTTAGTAATTTGTTTCTATTAAATTATTTTACTCTTTATGAACTTCTAATTTAATATGCTTATAAACACATATCGGCTGATTTTGTTTGTATCCCAAAATTATAGGGCCTGTTGATAAATCAACAGTCAGTCATTTGACACCCTGATTAACTAATAAAATTACTGTATTTCTCTGAAAATAAGCACACCGAAAGTAAGCACTCTCTACAATTCATATATACCTGAAAATAAGCATATATAATATAATATAAATCATTCTGTAATTATACCCAAAAAAAAGCAACCTTATAGCAAAAAAAAGGGTGCTTATTTTCAGAGGAATACGATATTTAAATATGTACAGTATACATAAGACTGAGTAGCATTTAGAATCTATTAAAGGTGGCACTTCCAGAGAACGCAATAATAGACTCTGTTGAAGTTGCAGTTTAAATAAGGAAGGCAAAACGATTAATTTTGCTAAAAGTAGCAGTATTACTGGAACTTTTATTTACTATTTGCAAATTTTTACTGAAAGGTTAAAAATTAACGATTTTAGTAAGTAAGGCAAAAAATACTGAATGTAATTAAAATCTGAATTCTGCTAAAAGTAGCAATTTTAATAAACAATATAGATACAATCAATTGCACTTAAACAGAGTTAAAGTTGGCTGAAGATGGCAATTTCAATTGACATAATAATGAATTCTTCTGAAAGTGGATTCTAGTAATAAGGCAGTAAATAAAACGTGGAAAAATTTGCTGAAAGTAACAGTCCTGATGGGCTCAATTTTATTAAAGTAGCAACTCTAGTGAATACTCAAATAAAAGGTAATAAATACAATAATATTGGATTCTGCTAAAAGTGGTAATTTATTTTGTCCGGAAGTGATAATTCCTGGACACTGGAGTTGAGATCACCTAAATTTTTTATTGTTTAATCATATTAATCATTTAATAATAATTTTGGTCTACAAACTTACTAAACACAATAATTTTGGATTTGCGAAAATGCAATTTTAGGCTCGATAGACTAAATTCTGCTGAATGTAATTCGTAGATAATGTAAGTACATGACCGGAAGCCTTAAATAGCTGAAGATAATAATTTTCAAACACTAGAGACTGTCTAAAATTTTCTAATTGTTTAACTATTTAACCATTAATTTAGCAGACATAAGATAATTTTGGTTCACGATCAATATAATTTACTAGAATTATAAGATAATTTTTATGCAGTTAAGCAATTCCAATCCTTACTAAATGTAAAAAAAAGTGCATAAGAATGGTAGTTAATATTTGTCAAAGGTGATGATTTCAGTGGGCTAGATTCTGTTGAATATAGTAATTCATAAGTAATGTATGTACAGTACATGGTAAGAAGCACTCAAAATTTGCGCAAATTTTATATCCTTGTAATAAATAATTGAAGGTACATTATGTAATAATTCAATTTGTATTTCTATATGTATATCTTATTAGTACATTATTCAATAACTTGTTTTAATAAAAAGCATTGATACCAGGAATATAGTAATGTAAATTACGAAGTGTATGGTTAATAGACAACTAGAAGGGCAAGTGTGCAATTTTTGGATTATGATTGAATAATAGTTACATAGTATATATAAAATAGACATGTATGATGCATATACAAATATGTAAAATTGTACCAAAAACATACGTATGTGTTTGTAATCCTGTATATATTAATTATGTATAGATGTACATACGTATATAAGTAAATTATATCAATTGTAACAGTCTTAGAAATATGGATATCACAAAAGTTGTAACATAACTTTTTACTAATCAAAGCTATTTTTATTTTTTGTTACATAGTCGAAGCATTTGCATCATATGATTTCAGCACCGAAGGATGCTAAAATAAGTCACATGATCACAAATGAATGAATTAGTAAAAAAAAACCAAGAGAAGACACAAAAGGTATGTACTGATCTACTCTAGAGATGCAAGTCGGATATCCACCAGTTTAATTTTATAATAAAACAGATATCCGTTAAATTTTAAATAAGAAAACGGATAACAGATTATATCTCTAAACCTACCCTATATGCTAGAAAATCTGTGTTACTAAAAATCATTGTAAAGTTGGAGTATATATAAGCATATAGTGTAAGCTTATAATATATAATACTGAAATTTTGTCACATTATCTGTTCATGCAATTTTTTTAAAAAGGCATGCCCCAAAGCATACCCTGGAATATCGCGTTCCCAATTCTATTTAGTTGTAGCAAAAAATTAATTCATACTTTTGTCAAAAATCACAAATATGTCTAGCATTAGATTTTCTAAGCTTTTACCTGATCATTATATTATATAAAACAAAAGCTTGCACTTTGTGGTATACAATCTGTAATAAGGGTATTTTTCCCACTATACCAAATCTTAAATATACAAAAGCGCCTAAGTGTTATACTATTCCTGATAACTTTAGCATTATAACAACATGGGGAAAACCATCAAACTTAAATACTGTTAAAGGTTACATTAAATATATAGATAATCGTCCAGTTTATTATGTATATTATGGACCAAATTTTGAATTAGAAATAATATCAGATCATTCTTCTAGTAATGCAGCAACAAAAACTCAAAGGGTTAGTTATTTATTATAAATATATATTTATATAATTAAATTTATATTAATAATAATTGTTATTATTAGGCTGTAAATGAATTAAAAAGACAATCAGAAAAGAGTCGAATGTCGGGTCCTTTGCTTTTTGGTCTTCATCTTAAACAAATTCAAAGAAATCAACCACAATTAAATCATATTAAACTTTAAAACATTTTAATGAAATAAGTATTTCAACTAAAAAGGCTTGTGCAAGAACTGTTGGAAAAATATTAAAAAAAAATTTGATCAAATTGCCAAAGAAAATTATCATTCTAACGATCAAGTTACACTTAAAGAACTATCTTACACGGTTGCAAATACATCTTTTCAAGTAGAGTTTGGATCCCAAAATATTATAGAAAAAAATAAACATGAGTTAGCGATTGTGCAAATAATTGACAAGTATCAAATACCACGAGATGGATATTGGGCTTTATCAGCTATTCAATCTGATTTATCTCGTGATTATTTAGTTTCTAATCAACGTACAACTTTAACAATGAAAATGGCAGACTATATACCTATCAACATATTCGATCTTAATTAAAATAATCTTCCATTAAGTGAGAAATTTCAATTAGTTGAAAAAGTTGCTCAATGAAATGTTAAAGATATATTTTCATACCTACATCTTTATTTAGTAACTACTGAAATTCTTTATCCTTCAAAGCCTGTTATTAATTTGCGGATTTCTGGCAATAGTCATAATATTGGGAAAAAAGTTAAACATATAATAATAACTCTCGCTATTTTAGATTACAAAGAGAAGTTATATTTACCTGACAATCATCATATGATAGTTATATACTCAGGTGTTGAAAATTATGAACTATTAAAAAGTGCGACACAGCCACTTGTTGATAAATTAAACGAATTACAAAAAACAGGATTTGTTGATAAAAATGGAGTTAAATGCCTAATTAATTTATATTTTTCTTCTGATTGGAAGTTTTTGGCACTATGTTTAGATATCAATACAGCTAATTCTACTAACTTTTGTCCATAGTGTCACTGTAAAAAAACAGAATTGGGCAATTTAAAAAAACGATCATGGACAATTGAAAAAAAAATGGATATAATTGCATCTAATCATTTAGCATATTCTGGTCACATTCGAGCTCTATTATTTCCAATGATTCCACTAAGTCACTGGGTTCCAAATGAACTTCACCTTATGCTCAGAATAACTGACAGATTATGGCCTTTGGTAATTTCCGAATTAGAACAACATGAAGAACTCGATAATGATATGTGTGAAACAATCTGTAATGAAATAAGGTGTAAAGTTAAATTTCGATTTTGAAAGATTCAAATACAACCAAATGGCAATATACTTCGCTTCTTGGACAAGACAAACTCAAAGTGTTACGAGATTTTGATTTGTCAGCAATTTTACCAATTAATCGGGCTAAAAAATCAGAATTTTGTAGGATAAATTTGATCAATTATACTGCGCTATTAAAAATCCAGATACCGATTTTACACAACTTTCTGTAGATGCTAAAGAGTGGGAGATATACTTTCTTCAGCCTGACATTATTGATCTTAATAACCAAGATATTATTACAGAAGAAGGTTTATACCAACCATCCGACATCACTCCATATATCCATGTTTTAATTTATCATATTCCAGAATTTATTAAAATACACAAAGAATTTGGGCTAGCTTCATTTTCTTGCTCTGCAGTAGAGAAGAAAAATCATCAGCAGTCAACATTTTTTTTTCGCCAAACGCTTAAAGATAGAGGAAATCCAAACCAAAATACATGTGCAATTAAAGAAATAATGAATTATGAGAATCGACGGCTTTATTATATTTATAATGATTTCTCCTTGAACAAACTGATAAAAATTCGAATAACATAGTTTTGAAGGTAATGTTATAATATTTGATTACTTTATCATTATAAAACTTATTGATATTTTTTTTTTTACATGTTTTAGATTATATTTTTCAATTTTCAATATATATATATTGAACAACATTTTACATAATCACTTTAGAATTATTAGATATATTAGATTTCGAATTGACAATAACAATAGTTTAGATAAGGTAAAATAGGATAGAAGGATCTGGCTATTAAATGACATCTTGTATAGTGTACTAGAGATAAATGTATTATATTATTGTATCTCTGAAATAGAATAAGATTGATCGAATTTCATTGCAAAATGTTAGTTCAAAGTTGATAATTATAGAGCAACTTATTCTAATGCTATGGCATATCTGATATAAAAACTATTTACAATTCAAGATAGCAAAATAGGTTCTGAAATATAGTAGTTAGCTACTCTTTTATTAAATATTGTGGGTATAAGTTCGGCAATTAGAGCAAAACATCAGGTTAGTTACTTGTGTTACTATTTTGTTCTTAAATATCTGATCATAAAGTGAAGCTCACTTTTGTTTAATATAGATTTTGTTGCAGGAGATTAGATAAGATCGATTAGAATAAGATCTACCACTATTTATAATATCGGAAGCGCTCGAACAGTGTAATAAAAAATCAAAAAGTTGGTTTCAGGTATTTGATCATACAGTAGCTATCGTATTTATACAATACAGAAATGGCTAAAGCCGAATAATTTGTCTTCCAAGCTAAGATATCTTAACTTATATCAATTGTTATTAACACTTTTTATTCAAATAAAAAATTTCTGTTTCTAAATCCTATAATATAGAATTTTCCTTCGAGATTAATTTCTAACTCTTCAGATGTTTTGAATAAAATTCAATATAAATCGCTTACTGATCCTTCAAAACTTAATACTGGTCATGAACTTTATATTAGAATCATTCCAGATAAGAAAAACAACTTCTTATATTAAGGAATACGTACTAGAATTGACATAACTAAAGTATCATTACTTTTAAACGATCAAAAGTTATCATTAGAAAATGATTATTGATTATATTAACAATTTGAATATATACTTTATTAGGTTAATCTTGTGAACAATCTTGGTATTATTGTATATTTAGGAACTAAAGCTTTCATGAAAGCTTACCAACATTTCTATGATTAATCAATTTGGTGCAGGTTTCTATTCGGCAAAGAGTTCAGATTCAGGAAACTTCAAATGAAATACTTACAGTAGAACGTGAGTTATTATTTGAACTAAATTTGTTATTTAAGTCATTTAAATTTGTAATTATTGCAACTTTATCTCTTATCATTAAATGATATAAAAGTCTTGAAGTTATTCTTTGTTATGAAATGGTTGAAGATGCAAAACCTAAAAAGAAGTGCATTTTTACGAATACACCTCTTGTTATTCCCGATATCTATCAATTAGAAGTTCTGGGTATGCTATAATCACATAATCTTATTAGATTTTCTGAGAAGAAATTTTTTGTTTAATATTTGCATATATTTATTTTCAGGTGTTGGAGCTGAAGTTCAATATGATATTTGTAATTGTTGTTTCAAGGAGGCTAATGGATTAGCTAATACTGGAGCCACAGGTCTAAAGTCTCTTGGTGCTAGAAATTTATCATATGAAATAAGTTTAATATGATATTTGTAACTGTTGTTTCAAGGGGGCTGATGGATTAGCTAATACTGGAGTCACAGGTCCAAAGTCTCTTGATGCTAGAAATTTATCATATGAAATATCTTTTCTGGCATGTACCATTGATGCGAAGGTACAGGTCATTTCTTTAATTAAAACTGATGGTTTTTTTACTTCTAGAAAAGCCTCATCTGACTGCAGCTATCATCAAAGATGAAGAGTCAGGTGATTTTATCATACATAGAAGTGGGTGCTTTAATGCTAGCGAATAACGTAAGTCATATAATATTTCATCGATTGTATTAACTATTATTATATAAATAATTATGTATATTTTCATTCAATTAGGAGATCTGCGCTATTGACGAATTTGTTATTTCTGATCAAGTTGCTATTTATATAAAGCTATGGCTTCCACTGGTAATCGATACCCACCCTTTTTAAAAATTTCCTGAAGATTTATAATCAGTAAAACAAATAATAATAAATATACTTAACTAATTTTTAAATATAATTATGCTATTTTGTAGATTCACAAAATCAAAAAGTTGGGAGTTAAATCTTATTTTTTTATATCAAAGGGTTTCAAAACTACGTAACCAATTTTCTAATTTAATCTAATAAATCAAGGAAGGTTTGAATTTCAGAATTTATCTTTATTAAATAAATTAGAATTCAATACAATCACACATAGCTATTTAATTAATAGACCAAATATCAAAATAATCTATTCTTTTACTTATTATATATAATATTTGAGGTTTATACTTTTAAAAAACAAAATCAAATATATAAATTGATTAATATAAATCAATTGATAATTAAAAATATAAATTGTATGATATATTAAATCATTTTATTCGATACTATTAATCTTTATACAAAAATTTTAGTTTGTATAATTGTTTCTATTATATACAAAATTTTTATTTATACAAACTAATTTAATATGCTATTTAAATAAAAAAAAAATGTTAATATAAGCTTGCCAATTTGAATATTAATTATAATTAGATACTTACTTTATTTTTATTTAAGAAGTGATAACTTGTTGATAATGACCTCTTGCAACCGAAAATCTAAAACTAATATATCCAGCCCAAATCATATGTCTATACATATCAGTTTTAGCCTTCTGATACCAGTCTACCACAACTTGTTTAATTTTTGGTTTAATTTCTTTTCGTATTGAACCTGATGCCCGTTCACGAGGAGATTGAAATGTAATATAAGTTCGTTGTTCATTGGCAAAGTACTTAACTCTCTATTGCTTATCATTTAAAATTTTACTAAGCAAAGAATATGCATTATTACCCTGAAACAAGCATCTCAATCTTCCAGATTTTGGAAATTGACGATGAATATAACCTTTAAATACACTATAAAATTGACTTAGTATACATAGCATTAATACTCTTTGTGAACTTGAATGTGTATAATGTGCTTTAATCGGTCTTGAATAATCTTAACAAAGATTTTTTTTAATTCCAAATTTGCTTTTAAAGGAAGTTTGTATATATCAGGAGGATTTTTGTTATATCTACGAATAATAGTATGATGTCATTTTAAACCACCTTTTGTCTTATAACACTTTCCACAAACAGAACAATTATGCGGAAGTTTCTCTAATAATAGCTAATTATAATTATAAATATTATTTTTATAGTAAATAGTACAGTAAAATAAAATTATCAATATAACTATATATATACAAACATTTCGTAATATCAAATTTGCTTAAACACACTCTATAAATAAAATACAAATAACCAAAGCTACTATATTAAAAATACATACAAATTATATATAATTTTTACAATTAACAATTAACTTTGTTTCTTTTTGATGGGTTCCTGGGATAGACAATTGGTTAGACACGATAATTTATATATTGAAAATTTTGTTTATTAAAATTATAACCAATCAGGTGATTTGTTGATTAGAAAATAGGTCCTAAAAAATGATCTACATATATATAAAAAAAGGTTCAAAAAATGAAATCAGCTCATATGACTATTCTTGTGATATAGATAGCTTTTATATAGCCTATATTTTAAACTAAAAACTTGTTGTCTAGTTAGAT